GTACGGGGATAGCTGGGTCAGTACGGGACGACCCCGTACTCGCTGATAACACTACTTCGTCCTTCTTCCGAACATCCACGCCTCTTCGTGCAACAAAAATAGCTCCAAAAGTACTGAAAATCACTCAAAAATTCATCAAGGCACGAGAGTTGATAATAATGTCAAATAAGTCGAAAGATGCACAAATCTATACTTATATAAAAGGAGATTCTATTTACTACATTTACTATCCAGAAAAGTCAACTGCATTAAATGCCATTACTATTTTGGTATTATAATATTTTATTTATTTAATTAATTTATTTATTTGTTTTATTTTAAAAAGGTAAGTATAATAAAAAGATTTTAATAATAAAAAAATCAAATACCAAATAAAAATGTAAACTTTGACTTATTTGATTATATTTGGTATTTGATTATACCAAATATATTCCTATTTAGTATATACATTAAATACTTACTAAAGTATTTATTTGTTTTATTTGTCAAAGTTAAGTATAGATTTGTTTATATTATCAAATCATAAAAAAATATTAAATCCATATTGTAAAAAAAAAATCATATAATTTTATAACAATTCTACTACACTATTTAACAATATTTTTTTTTTATTATATAATAAAATAATAATTAAATATTATATGGTGAACAACAATAAGTAAAACTGTTACTTTCTCTTATATCAAGGGATAAATTTATATGCTAAAATTAAATTTTTATTAGTATAAATGTTTTAGTGAGATAATATATTAATTATTTTACAAGCTAGCCCTAACATGCTCATATTTAATGTTTTAAAAGATGTAGAAAAAAAATTTATAATAACTCTATTGTTTTTTAGACTTAAACGTTGATTAAAAGAGGTAAAAATTCCTAATTTTTTAGACTTAAACGTTGATTAACACCATAGATTGAGAGTTTATATTTAGTAAAATTCCTAATTGTAATAAAAAAATTAATTTTTGCTATATTTTAGAATATCTTTAAATTCATTATAAAAAAAAAAAAAAAAAAAAACTACAATGAAAAAAGCAAGTCAGCTATATATCGATTTGTTGTACTCCTCAAATCACATTCACAATTTGGCTACAAGGAAAGGAAACTCATTGATTAAAATATTATTTTGTCAGTAGTCTTAATGTACAAGAGACTTTAAGACTCCACTTGAATATTATAAAACTTTTATTGAACATTGTACAATTTTCTTGCGTATTATAAACTTTTATTGAATATTGCATCTTATAATATAATATTCTCCAAATAAATATATCTTGTGCTTCGCACGGGTCACGTACTATATATATATCCCGTACATTTTTCTTTATTCATGTATATAATTATAAGCCTGGATAAATAACTTTAAAATTGTGCACCCCGTGCATCGCACGGGCTCTGTACTAGTGTGGAGAATTAAACGTGCACAAATGCAACATTAGACCATTAATATAAGCACGATTTCCGACGAATCAATGTTTGTGGTGCATCCTAAAAGTTTATCTTTAAGGAGTGATCTATGGGAACTTATTCCTACTATCCTTATCTCAATTTATTTGGATTCTTCAAACTTTTTTCTCACAAAAAAGAGAGGTAAATCTTGGTATTTTTCAAGAATTACAATTAGATATTGACAAATGTCACTCTTTGGCTGCCTATCTAGCTATAGTCCCACACTCCCACTATACATATTTACATTATTACTTTAAATAATCACATTAAAGATAAAAAAAGTAATAATAATATCGGTCGTTAACGAGCAAAGTTCGAGCTATTTTATCAACTCAACTAGTTTGCAAAAAAATAAATTCATATCGACGAGCAGAGTTCGAGCTCTTTTATCGACTCGGCCAATTTGCAGCTCCAATTACAAATGGAGATTGAAAAAATGATACCATCTGGCTGAGTTCATATAGCTATAATCCCATAATATTTATATTATTTTGATGAAATAATCAAATTAAATGAAAAAAATAAATAAATTCATTTTCCCTTTACACCAAAAAGAAGATTGAAGTAAATATTTTGATCATTTGGATACAAACTATGGGACAACAAAAGAACTGATGATGAGGACATTAAAACAACTGAATCCTAATTTAGCTATATTATCTGCTTTTCAAAGCAATTTGATATTTAGAAAAAAGGCAAATGCTGTTTTTTATATGGTTTTCTCAATTCTCTGTTTTGGAGGTCCCTATGCATAAGCACTGATCCAATCATTTAAAACATATCAATAAGTATAATATTATCCTCCATCACTATGTAAAGACAAATTTCCTTGAAATTTGATAATAAAATTCCTTAATCACTATCCATATAAAATTCTTTTATGGCAAATTTATAAAATTCATAATTAAGATGAAAGCTAACAAGAATTGCCACATAATTCCTTCTCTTATTGGCCTAGTGGAGCTATTTTTATAAAATAGAAAAAGGAAGAGACAAAAGTTCTTATTCTTTGATTCTCTTCTTTCATAAAGAAAAAGCTTTTACCAGTGGCTGAAAAAAATTAAGAGTAAAAATAAATAAATAAATATAAATACAAAAATAAAAAATAAAATATGTTACTATTTTTTATTCCCCTGTCTCTCTCTCACACACACCCAAACAAATTGGTAAGGGATTAAATAATATGATCTTGATACTAACATGAATGAACATGGATACAAATGCCAACACAAAATTTTCTTACAAATCAACCAAATTTTTTAATACATGTTTTGCTGAAAATTAGCTTTGAGTAATTAAAAGAATCCAGTGATGACAGTAATGCAAGATAGTTAACACAAAATTCTAAGGTTTGACATTTAATATTTGGGAATGGTATTTGGATAAGATATATACAGTATAATTTCTATTCATATCAATTGGTTGAAGTTTTAGTGCATGATGTTATTCATTGCATCTTAAGTTAGTAGTCATGA